CCTAATAGTTTTATAGGTGCAGCAGTAATTGTAGAGAAGGCAGAGAGAAAAACAACAATCCATTACTTTCTTGATGACACTTAGTCTATTGGGCTGCTAATGAATCAGTGCTTCACTGAGAGGCTGAAGCACCTGAGCGAGACTTAAGGCAATCAGGAGCTCGACAGAATCTGAAATTATAAGACAATAAAGTCCTCAGATTGATTTGCTTTAGACCTCACCTAACCTTGTAATTCTTCAAAGGAAGCAGCAGCAGCTTACAGACAGAACCTCTGATTATGGCAGGTCAAGTCAAAGAAATTTGTAATCAAACCTGCTTTTTTTTTTACTGCAGATACAAACGCTGTGGAATGTGGAGCACATGAAGCTACGCACTCTGTAAGCTACAGCATTTAAGCAGACATATAAAAGAGGACTTTCAACATAAATAAAATGAAACAAGGTGAGAAGCTTCTGGATAGACCGCTTCTAACCTGATAACAACATCAAAATAAGGAAATTAATAGCAAAAATAAATTACTCTCTAACACAAACAGCAAAGATTGGTGAGTTACCCAAATGACCCCTGCATCTTCACTGTGAAAGAGAAAATTACAGCTTTGATTAATGTGAATGCAACTTAGCAATGTTCTAGTAAACTAGCCAATCACCTGGAAGTAAAAACAGTCTTTGCCGTCTAAACCTTCACTCCACTTATTCCTAAAGCAATCTGTAAATACAGAACACGTCCATCTATCCATCCAAGTTTGGTCTAGCCTTGATCAATGCCCCAGCCCCTAGACCTGGCTGGCTGCTCAAGACAGGAGAGAGAAAAAAAAGACTTCCACTTTCTTCAGCTGGAGGATATTACAGAAATTTGACTGTCAGATGGGAGAATCTGAAGAAACACAACTTTTAAGCTGGGGACACACTAATTGGAAGGCATTTAATGGTAGCCTAGTAAACTAGTCCCATTATTTTTGCCTGCCAGTGGTCTAGCCTCGATCAATGCCCCAGGCCCTAGAACTGACTGACCAATCACATCGCAAAGATGTGTTTTAAATCTGGATGCAAAGTGGGCGGGGTTTTTGAGGGCGGGACGACAAAGCCGCGTGACGCTGGAGAAAACACAACAAGGAAGACGGCAACAACTATTGAACAGTTCTCGTTTGACTCAGCTTTGGAATCAGTTTTGGAAGGATTAGACCTGGGGTTTTCATTGAAATGTGAGCAGGAAGAGGCTCTACACTCATTTATTTTGAAGAAGGACGTATTCGCTGTTTGTTTACACTCTCCCACCAGCTTTCTGTCGCGCTTACTACATCACAGTCAGTTGCGCTTATTGGCCAATAAGCACAGACATGGTTTGAAAAACAACAGGTTGTTCTCATCAACAATCTTCCGATGTCTCATTCATCGCGACCAGACTAAATTACACATTTAATCTCACATTTAGTCTGGTTTATCAGGCTAATCCATCCATCCATGCATCCATCAATCTTACGGTAGAAGAAAGAATTTCAAGACATAGTAGTAATCAACAATACAATTATGATTTCTGAAGGGCAGTGGTATGTTTGGTTGATAAAATGCATGCTCCTTTCTTGATTGATTCACAGGTTTTTAAGGGATTCTAATATTCTCTCCCTCATCACAAGCTGCAATATCATAGAAGAAAAGAATATTCTTAGTTTCAGTAGCAGAGAAAGTCCTGCACTGACAGAGCCATTTAGAGACACACTAATGATGTGACAGTAGGCTGTCAGAGCTGCAGAGGGCAATCGCTCATGTTTATATTACAGCATAGAAAGAAGGCCATAATTTCCCACACTTAAACTGATCCGTCTCTTTACAGAATTCATTTATACCGATAACAATGATACTTTTTTTAATCTAACACAGCAGATATTTATATTTCCCATTAACCTTGGTGAATATGTTAATAGAAGGTTTTGCATAAGTCTTAGCACCATTTTTCAGGAAAATAAATAAGAAGCTAATAAAAATCCAGCTGCATCACATTTATTACTAGAGGAAACTAAAGTACCTTTAAGTATTCAATCACTTCTATTGTATTTCTTATCAAACGCAGCCACTGGCTGTTAAAAACGACCACACTGTTATGTTAGAATCTAATCGTGTCCCTCTCTGGGGTATTGTATTAGATCTGTGTTATTCATGCGGGGTTTGAATCCTTGTTGCGTCAGGAGGGGTATAGGGTGTTAAAACTGTGCCAAGTCAGTGTGCAAGACTTCCACTCTAGGTGAGTATAATTTATTTTCCATTCTGGCTGTGCTTTCACACCGAATGCGATTCCTGTGACAAAGTCGCCACATTAGGTGGTGCTGTCGCTCGCCTGACATATAACCATCAAATTGCATGGCGGGAGACAATCACTCCCATCTCTTCACCCCGTCATCAAACAAAGGGAGCTCCTATTTGCTCATTGCTGATTTCATCTCAGCATCTCAGATCTGGATTTTATCAATCCGGTCAGGGTGCTTTACTTTCTATGGAGAGCCCAAACAGTTGCGCAAGGTTCCCTGAATCCACTAGAGATGCTCCCAGTTAAGAATCAAACTGGACCACAGTTACTTTCCATGGGTCTTACATCTGAGTAGGACCCAAAATTATCCTTCTTTGGTGTAGGATCACCTGAACAACAGAAGTAAAGTTAAGCAGCATTTTGGAGCTCAGTCACCCCGGCAGAGATGGCTGGGATTCTTACTGGCTGCGATCTGCTCTGGAGCTGAGGCAGGAGGATGAACCATGACTGATTTAACTGTCCTTCTAGGACAAGAATATTTTTCCCATCTTCAATTTTGATTTAAAAAAATCTTTATCCTTATCACAGCCACCTTCGATTCTTTATTGGTTGCTGCAACAAGGCTCTCCTAAACACGCCCCTACATAGGGATAAAATGTAAGTCGATTGCTCTGGTTGCTGGAAACACGTTTGGTTTGAATGCACCATTATACAGCAGATAACACATGAAAAAAAGTCTGGAAAAAGTTAAAGCTTGGATCAGTTAGAAAGCAATGTTTAAACTATGAAAACTGAGAGGCCAAGCAAGGAGGGCATTAACTGGAGAAGCAGCCAAGAACCACCATGGGAACTTTGGAGGAGCTTCAGAGATCCTTAGTTCTAATCAGGCAATCTGTTGGCCTTTTTTTCTTTTTAAACTATGGCAGCAAGAAACCGTCTGCTTAAGGAGAGCTTCTGCAAATCCTGCTTGGGGACATTCTGGTCTAAGTTAAAAAAATATGTAAAGGAAAGCAATTCTCTGAAAGCACCATTGTTTTTACACCATCCTCTTCTTTAGTGGGAACAGAAAGTGGATGGAAATTGAGCCATAAAGTCCTGGAATACAACCTGTTGGAGACTGCAAACAACTTGAGACCAGGTCAGATGTTCAGCTTGCAGCAGGACAATGACCCCCAAAAACCAGACCCAATCTGAGGGGGATTGAGCACTTTTAAAAAGAAAAAACTTGTAAAAAGATCTGTCTCTAGATGTGTAAAACTCATGGAGACATATTCCAAAACACCTGCAGTTGCAACATTAGTGATAATACAAAGCACAGCATGTGGGGGCCTGAAAATATGCTTAAGAATTTTACAAAGGGAAATGTTCACAATGATCTATAAAAATGTTCATAACTGGGCATTAGCTGGCTTTTTATATAAAATACAAGCCAGAGGAAACTCTGAAAAAGCCTAAGAAGAAAAGGACTATATTCATTTTCAACACATTTATCTTTCTAAGAATGTTTAACACAAGAAATTAAATTAGAAATAAACCTCTAATATTAAAAAAACATGGATGTTTGTGATTTTACATGAAGAAATATGAAATATGTTCATTAGGCACAATACTGCTGACAGATACCAATTGTGGGGATCCATCCATCCATTTTCCTTCATGCTTATCCCAAGTTGGGTCACTAAGGGTGCTGGTGCCTATCTCCAGCTGTCCATGGGCGAGAGGTGGGGTATACCCTGGACAGGTCGCCAGTCCATCTCAGGGCAACACAGAGACAAGCAACCATTCATACACTCACGCCAAAGGAGAATTTAGAGAAACAAATTAACCTAACAGTCATTTTTTTGGACCGTGGCAAACTCCATTCCGAAAGACTGGCGGAAATCGAACCCAGAACACCTTGCTGCAAGACAGCAGTGCTACCCATTGTTCCACTGAGCATCCATTTTCTGGATCCATTTCCCCAAAAAACATGTTAAAAATCAGATTGCAAGTTGATAAGGGCTTTTTATAGTGTAGGTTATTAAGGCAGTCCAATTATCATGGCCAAGGAAGCAGAGAACATGGAACAACACCTCACTGTCTAAGGGGCTTTCTTCTGTCTAGTTATAAAGCAATTCATTAGTCAGAACTTCTTTAATTCTTTAATTAGAAAGTCCTTCTTCAATCTGACACATTACCAAGCGACCAGCCACTTACTCAAATTACTGTTTAATTATAGCGCACTTACATAAACACATGGGCACATACATCTTTCCGCCGTGCCACTCCCTGGGTGACGAGTCAAGTGCTTTGTGTGGGAGAACCAAAGGCGTGCTGGAGCGGTGACTGGCAGGCGGTGTTGTCACGGTAACAGACATCCAGACACAGATATTGCACACTCGCACACAATCTCAAAGGAGCAGTTTTCCTGCAGCAGCTGCACGACCCCTAAACAGGCCAGACAACTAGAGCCTCAGGACATGGCAAGGTAACGGAAAACAGCAAAGACTAAAGAATAAGCCACTTATGTCCACACTGCCACCCAATAATAGGATTATGCCACAAAGTTATTGGATGTCAGTGGAATAGCAGGAGCAAAATAGTGAGCTATGAAATCTAGGTGTGGTAAAAAGCTTTTGAATGAACAGAGATGTTCTTCAGTTGAGCTTTTAGACACCTAGTTGAAATGGCATAGAAAAAAAAAAATGATGAGGATTTAAAATCTTGCTGTAATCCTGAGGCTGTAGAGGAATACTGGGGAGGGAGAGTTAAGTACCTGGAGGAAGGCTGACTCTCTTTCTCTTTTTGCCGTTTTCAGCCGTGTTTTCCAAAGGAGAGCACTCAGGCCCAAGGGGGCCACTAGAACCGTTGAACTGGAGAGGGTCGTTGTTGGCTGCTGGATCAAATGGCAGAGTGTTGAGTCCTGCAAGACAAAAGAAACCCAATATTAATTTCAGTAAGAACATACCTGATGAAGAGAAGCTCTGCAATCCATTATAGAGACCACATGTTAGTGACGCGTCGAGAAACGCTCTGCTAGATATATGAAAGCAATGAGATGTTGAATAAGGAATCAGAAGAGGCAGTGAAATTACTCTCTAAAAGATTACTGCCATTTATTCATGCCGTAAAAAAAAAGACGAAAATGAGCAAGACTTTCTGAGGATGACAGGAAGGCTTAAAAGATGTAGAAATACTCTTGTTTCATTCTTGAAGGTTTCAAACTCTGTCATTTATGTAGAAATGATGGGAGTCTTTGGAAAGCTCAGGGTTATGTTAAGTTTAGGCTAACAGTGCGAACCGGCATACAGAAAGCAAAACAATATATAAACAATTGTCTAACACAATGACTTTTTCTTCAAGACTACCTACTAAAAGATAGAACAAAGAAATATCCTGAATGCTGAAATTTTTTTTTCTGCACTTAGGTTCACTTGACATATTAAAAAGTGCCTTTTAATAACAACTGCCTTCTGTTAGGTATTTAACATGCTAATCATTAAGCACATTTCTGTGTAACAGAATGCTTTATTTGTCTGAAGTAATATTCTGGGCCTGATTGTCATGTTTTTGTTGGCTGTATGTAGAAAATCACCATAATTAACAGGAAAAAAGGCTTAAAAACATCAGTCTGTACAATGTGTTTTATTGAGTGAATTGAATTAGTGAAATAAAAGAACTTTTCAGTTTCACTTCATTAAACAGGTCTGTTTAATGCAGCCCTATTGGCACAATATGCTTTATCAGGGTTTATACAGGAACGAGTAACTCTAATTTAATGCTTTTTAATGCTCTTTTAATGCTCTAAGAAATTATTTTAATGCCATTGACAAGTAACCATTACTTATTTATATATAATAATAATATAATCTTATTTTTTTTTGTCAGTTACATATTATTATTTTTTATGATACAACGCACATACAAACAAAAAGAACAAAGCACACTAACATGAACATGTTTTGGTAGCACCTTCTTTTCAAGTTTTTCTGTTTATATAATGTCCATTTTTCCCATTTTTTTTCCATCTGTGGTTCATTTTCCATGAGAAATATATGTCTTCAGTCGTCGTGATCCATTGGTCCTTTGATGCCAAGTTTGACTTCCCCCATTTTTTTGCTGCTATCAACATCACTTTTACCAAATAGTTATCTTTTTCATGGATAGCATAATCTCCAAGATCGCACAAATAGAGAATTTCAGGTTTCATTGGAAATATATACCCTAATACTTCACATAATACAATGCAAATCATTTCCCAAAACTCCAAGAGTTTTGAACACTTCCAAAAACATGGGAATGGTTGACATCTTTCTCCCCGCACTCTCTCCAACATTCTTGATGCCTCCCCGATAATCACATTTAATGAATTTTAATGCAAATTAAGGCCTTCATTAAAAAAATAATAATAATTTAATGACTTTTAATGACCCGCGGAAACCCTGTTTATACAAATCATAAGGTTTGAATGTGTCTCTGAAAAAATTGTAATAGAATGTGGATCTGATCAAACATGTATTTCAAATTGAATCAGGATATCTGTTTTTAAGAAGGTGATTTTCAACATAAGATATTGGATTTGCTGACCAGCATAATATGAGGTGATAAAAACATCTAAGGAAGCAGGAAAATGATCATCTGAGGATAATCAGTTTGATAAATCCCTGTGCTTTCTGATAGTTTGATCAGGTCTGTTTGGACTATTTATTCCAAAACACTACTGATCTCCAAACCATCTAATGTTTCATAAATAAATATAGAACCAACACCTTATTATAAGTTGCAAAGTTAAATGGGAAACATTACATCGTGCAGATGTTATTATGAGGCATAGTGAATACAAAGTTACTATTTGACCTTTTTTAACTTTAGATAACTAAAGATAAATTTAACTAAAGATAAAGATAAAGTTTTTTTAGTGTTTAGTTCTGTTTCTCTCCTAGAAGTAACTATGGGCTACGCTTTTACTCTCACAAACTGAATGTGCTCTTCTATCCTTCCTGACATGAAAATCATCTCAGAGATCATCTGCTTAACTGTTTCTTGCCTAGACAAAGCCAGCTATGACCATTATGTTCTCTAAATAGAAAGTATTCATGGATCAGTGCTTCTATGTCCCCTTTTTTGCGTCTGCCTGTATTTTGAACCCCGAGGTTTCTTCCAACTAAAAGGTAGTTATAAACTGACTGTGTAGATAAAGTGTTGTGAACTGTTATTAATAAACTGAATTTAATTAAGCTTAATTTAACAGACTGCCAAAATGACAAAAACATTTCATCCATTTCGGATCAAATAGATAAAAGGTAAAGAGAAGACATATGTCAACAGGAGCAGTAATGATAAGGAAAAAACACATTTGTTGAATTTGCTTGACTCTTATTCTCTGGTAAAACTGTCTGTCCTGTTTTATCTCTGTTATTTCTGTCATTTTATGTTTGTAATTCAGTGCAGAATCCTGGAGAGATTCAGTTTGCATTCATGAAAAATGTATTATATTTCTTTGTGCTCAAATTTGTTTTCCCTCTGCGGCACAACTGAGCATCAGATCCTCTCTTCTGCAGCTCAAGCACAGCTCTAAAACTGCCACATTAATGTCTTTTACATGTAGCAACAGCTCAAATAAGACAAATGTAGGTGCTGGAAGTCTTTATGCTTTATGACTTCAATCAGTCAGATGCAAGATTTATCTGTCCTATAATATTGACTGACAAATAAGATACTGTATAAAAGAAAATGAAACACACAAGAAGCTGCACTAGGAAGAGAGCTCACACACACTTAAGTCTCTCTTTTATATTTCATCACGCTGCTGTCAAGCTGATCTGTTCATTTTATCTGAGAAAAATGTTTAAGGGCCTTGCAAATGTATTGATATTCCTTTAACGTTCCAGACTTTTTCATTTTATAACCATAGAGTTCAAGGTATTTTATGTCCTGTACATTATGACACTGATATTTGCCTCAATCGAAACAGTTAAACTGTAGATTTACCTGTTTCCTTAGGGTCATTTTAGCCCTGGAAAGTGAACCTATACCCCAGTTTTAGGAACTTTCTATCCCAAGAATGCCCTAGATTACCAGTCGGCAAATTCAGTTTCCAAGTCAGGGTTCAGGTGATGGGCTAAGTCAGCACTACAATCTGTATATTTGTAAATGGGATCAAGAATAGAGTCTTCAAATGTGTGACAGGGAAGCAAACTAAAGTGAACATATTGCAAACAATCCTGTATCAAATTTTTAAGGTTGAAGTTTACTCACCCCACTGCAAATGTGACTACCAGTAAAAAAACAAATAGAGTGAAAGATGCTTTGATTGTTTTTTTTTTTTTTTTTTTTTTTTTTTTACATTTTTGATGATTTCATAACAATGTGAAAATGAATGAACTGAGGAAATATAAACTCATTCAATCCAATTATAATCACTTGGTGATTAAAGACAAAGATGGTATTAACTGGATAATCAACACCAAAGACGGTCAAACAAAGGGTTTAATGGAAATGCGACCTAATTTAATACCCTAACTTTTCTAAATTGATCTACAATCAAATATTCTTAATTTTTATTTGAGCATTTCAGCCCCCAATTTTTTTTTTTCCCCATTGTTCTCTTAATCTTGTGTGCCTGTATACTTTTATTTGGCTTTTTCCAAAAAAACAACCTTGAATTCACCTACAGTTGAACAATAGATGGTATTTCCATTGTAATAAATTCCATTCCATAGCAGAAAAAATACTCAGGTCAAATTAATATAAAATCTGAACTTGAGCATAACAAAGAATCCAGTCAAAACTCTCCAAATCATATTCACTGGCAGAAAAAGGGTAAGGGGTAATGGTGAATGTCTTGTATTTAATTAGGGAGTAGGACAGAAATGTAACCAGCCAGTTTAGAGAATACCCCCTATTAGAGCCACCTACTAGTATGTTCGTTCCATTAAATTAAATAATGATTTTAGGAGTTTGATGCATTGTAACAGAGTTTATTTGCTCTGATGAATACTAGTCAGCAGATATAGTCTTCTGTGGGATCTCTGTTCTTTTCAAACCCAAAACTAAATAGTTTTTACTTTGTTTGAAGTCTTTTCAGACTAAGGGAAGCCCATTAAAGTAGCCTGACAAACCAGACTTAATGTGAGATTAAATGTGTAACTTAGTCTGGCCCCGATGGATGAGACATCAGAAGATTGTTGATGAGATCAACCCGTTGTTTTTCAAACCATGTCTGTGCCTATTGGCCAACGCTCTGACCAATGAGCGCAACTGACTGCGACGTAGTAAGCACGACAGAAAGCTGGTGGGGGAGTGTAAACAAACGACGAATACGTCCTTAAAAATTAACGAGCGTAGAGCCTCTTCCTGCTCACATTTCAACGAAAAAGTCTAATTCTGCCAAAACTGATTCCAAAGCTGAGTCAAACGAGAACTGTTCAATAATAGTTGCCATATTCCTTGTTGTGATTTCTGTAGTGTTGCGCAGCTTTGTCGTCCCACCCTCAAAACCCCGCCCACTTTGCATCCAGAAATTCAAAACGCATCTCTGCGTTGTGATTGGTCAGCCAGTTCTAGGGCCTGGGGCATTGATCGAGGCTAGACCACTCGCAAGCAAAAATGATTTTGGCCGCTGGCGGGTGGGGCTAGTTTACTAGGCTACCATTAAATGCCTTCACCTTGATGTGTCCCCAGCTTAAAAGTTGTTTTTCATCAGATTATCCCATCTGAAAGTCAGATTTCTGTAATACTCATCCAGCTAGAGAAATTGGAAATATTTTTTTTTTTCTCTCCTTTCTTGAGCAGCACTATAACGGGATTTATCTTTGACTAATATAATGCAAGTGGTTGAACTGCATTTCCTGTATGGGTATGAGGGTACAGGGGGCTGAATAGAAATTCCTGCCACAATTACATTTTTGAAAACCATGTATC